ATCTATTCAAGCAATCGATGAGCATGAGGCACATGACAGGGAAATCGCAATGGACACATCTACGGTGTTGCAAGATACCAAAGAGCATTGACAACTCCAGTCTCGGCGGTATGGGCCTCTCTGAACCTGTTTCAATCCTGCGTCGAGGCAGAAGGAAGACTAGACTTCTGGCATCTATGGGGCTGCAGTTGAGAGACATCCAGGTGCTGCTTCTGGTACTGATGGTTGTGGCTGCACCGTTTCTTCGTTGCGCTGCTGCGGCTGGTGGCATGGTCCCCCGAACGAGAATGGCCACGCCTGCAGCCGATGAGGATCCTCTGGTGCCACTCTTCCGCTGCTTTCCCACTATTGTACTCGGTGGTCTGCGCACAACGTACAGCTGCGAGGCTGGCAATCTCCTTCCCTTCTCTGACTCTCGACTCGTATTCTCGTTCTTTACCCCCGCCCGTTACCATGAGGACTGGATAACATATGTGAATCCGGGAATAGTTATGAGTTTACTTGAATTTACTCCTGGAGATTGGGTGCTTCCAGGACGTTGGGATTCTGCCATTTCAATACCTTCTGGGGGTGGATTCTCTTACGTTACTGTGACGACCACTGTGAACATGGACTTCATGATGCTTAATGAAACCGAAGCAAATTTCAGTGCACCCTCTCCGTATTACGGCATGGGTGTGTCGTTGGCACTCAATCTCCCTGGCAACACCACGGCTTCCGACTACATGCTGGTCCGCTCTTCCAATGACTGCCGGTACACAACTACAAGCTGCACCGACTCTGTTGGGTGCTACAGAATGCCGCCACCCGGACATCTTCCCCCTCCGGGCGAATACTGGCTCTGTGTGACGTCAAATGGCTGGAATGACAAATACCTTCCGTGGGGTGCAGAATCCCTTGAGACGAAGATGTTGTTGGTCACACCGCTGTACTTGACAGCTGGTAGGGACAAAAATGTCGTGGTGCAGGACCCGGAATCTGTGGCCAGTGTGCCGGGGCGTGTGTTCCTGGTGCGGTGCCCTGGCAACGTCTGCCCCCTTGTGACTGCTCACAGTGGGGAAAAGGTGGTGCGCCTTGATGCGTGTGTGAACCCCTCCGTCTCGTCGCGGGTGTACCTGTCCGATCTCCGTGTGCTGTCTGCAGAAGCTGGCGTGTACGCTGTGTGTGTCGATGATGATGGAGAGTACACTGCTCCCGCTGCGCTGCCGGTG